TTTTTGAAAGTTTAAACGCAACATCAATCTCTTTCTTGGCTTCATTGATTCTGTTGTTTTATTGGCTTTGATTTTCATTAATGTTTTCTCTTTAACCCCCAGTAAACGCTTGCGTTCAGTGTAATTATCGTCTTGCCTAAGGAGAATCGATAAAAAATGTCAGAGCTATCTGTCATTGAATAGAAAAAACTCCCAAAACATGCCGTTCATGATTTTCAGGGCTGTACTTTAGTGAATATTGGAGTTAGTTATACATGTGTGATTATTATGATAAGTTCTTAGCCAACTTTAGTTAAAGCAATTTGGGCTTGTGTAATAACGCATCTTTTCAGACAATACCGTGTTAGTATCAAGCTACTCTCATCAATGAACAATAGTTGACTTCTATTTTGCAATGAAAGTTCGCGGAAGTAAGGAAATTGATGAATTTCAACGAGGGCAAATAATAAGATGGCATCAGTGTGGTAAGTCAAATAGAGAAATTGCTATGTTTTTCCAGGTTAATCATCAAACGGTTAATAATATTGTCAAGAAATTTAATGAAGAAGGCCATTGCCATGTGGAAAAACATTCAGGAAGACCAAGCATTGTGTCTAAGCGAACGAAAAGGGCGCTGAAGAGGGAAGTCATCAGAAACCGTCGTCAGAGCGTCAAAGATATCGCCAACAGCATGGAAATGTCGACATATGCAGTGAGAAAGACTCTGAAAGAGCTAGGCTATCAAAGAAGAGTTGCAAGAAAGAAGCCCTTGATTTCAGAGCTTAACAGGAACAGGCATATGGACTGGGCGAAAAAATTCGGGAGCAAAGATTATGAATTTTGGCAGTCTGTAATTTGGTCACATGAAAGTAAATTCTGCCAGTATTCGAATTCGAGATAGATTTATGTTTGGAGAAATCAGAATGAAACATTGAACACTGAATGTCTACAGGGAACCTTGAAACATGGAGGTATTGGAGTAATGGCGTGGGGTGCTTTCTGGTCTGTAGAGAAATCTGAGCTAATTCTGGTTGACGAGCGGTTGAACGGTTCAAAATACTGTCAACTATTAGAGAAAGCAATACTCGCACTATTTGAAACCATTCAGATTGGCAAGAATGTCTACCTTTATGAAGAGCGCCATGTCATATGAGCAAAGTAGCAAAGGCCTGGAAGGAATCGCAAGGAATCAAGTAAGTCACTGCGATGGGTAGCACAAAGTTCTGACATGGATCCAGTAAAGCACGTTTGGGAGCACCTTCACCGAAAACTTCGAGAGTGTGCAATCAAAATCACGTCAGTGGCAACCTTTAAAGAAACATTGCTAAAGGCGTGGCAAAATATGGCTCAGACGATTGTTGATAACTTGATCAAATTCATGAAAAATATAATACAAACACTGAAACTAGCAAATGGAGGACCTTCTCTATACTAGTTCCAAATACTCTTTATTTATGTTTATTAGGGATAAAGTAATTAAATTTTGAAATTGGATGTAGTTTATTTCTTCTGGCTAAAATATTTCTTGGTCGATTTCCACTTCTTTGCTTTGTGTTATTCTTGTCGTTAAAATAAATTACAAAAACTCCTACAGAAGGTAGCGAAGGAGAGCGAGAAGAAAGGACTAAGCATAAACTACAAAGACAAAATGATGGGCATCAGTAAAAGGATGAGCCCAAATTGCGATTTGCAGGTCGGAGACAATAAAATCAAGCAGGCACGGAAATTTAAATATCTGGGAAGTATTTTGAGAGAGGATGGCAAGAAATCCGTAGACGTATTGGGATAACGAAGGGTGCATTACAAAACTGGACATTTTGGACGCATTCCAAAAGCTAGACATTGAATATTGCGACACTTGATGATTTCTTTAGAAACAAAGAAAAGAATACTGAGCTGTTACGTGACATCTGCCATCTTTTACGGCAGCAAATGTTGGGCTGTCTCCTGAAACACTCGAGGCAACGGAGATATGGTTCTACAGAAGGATACTAAGGATGTCATGGACCGAGCGTGTGAACAACGATGCGATTTTAAAGTGGATGCAAATAAGGAAGAAGCTTATACTTAATATAAGGAAGAGGCTGTTGAAATTTCTGGGACACGTCCTGAGAAAGAAAGGCTGGGAGAATCTGATACTCATAGGTCGAATATAGAGAAAGAGAGACAGTGGAAAGCAACACAGCACATACCTTAAGCAGGTGGATGACAGAACGTGGTCTGGGCGGGGGGTAGCAGAGGGTTGGAACTTTTTCAGTGCTACAAGGGATAAGGGAAAGTGGAGAGCCGTGATCACCTACGTCAGGAAAGGACACGACCCATAAAAAAAAAGATTGTGATGAAGGAGAACAACAATTTTCCTATTGAAGAACTCTGCACGCTTTTCGTAGAAAATTTTATAGACACGTTGCGGCTGCTGGATGTATAAATGCGAATTTAATGTGTCATAATATTAAAAAAAAAACTTTCAGTGAGTAATCGCTTGAAGATTCAATCATACGCATAATATATCTTTTTTTCCCATGGAGCTCAGTTTTGGGGGTTAGTTACGGATATTTAATTACTACCTTTTCTGTTGAAAAATTGCGACACATGATGATTTCTTTAGTAACAAAGAAAAGAGTTCTGTGCTGTTACGTGACATCTGTCTTCCGTTACGGCAGCAAATATTGGACCATCCCCTGGAAGACTCGAGGAAACGGAGATATGGTTCTACAGAAGGATACTAAGGATATCATAAACCGAGCGTTTGAGCAACCTATTTTTCGTCCTCCGTTAGAATATATTTAAGAAACAGTCAGTTAGAGAGATACATCAGTTATTACAATTTATCCGCCAAAACGAAAATTTCTTCTGACCCAACATAATATAATGTAACTTTCATAGGGAAATATCTATATCCATCAATTCTGTCTTCTCCATTCAGAGTTAGACATGTTGTCAGCCAGCATAAGAGAAAAAAAATGCTAAATTCAAAACCATGGAAAAGACGACGGAATGTGTTCTATTATCTCGCCAACAACAATCCTAGATATGGACATTAAATTTTTAAAGAAAGCTGTGGAGAGGTATGATCGTCTTCGTCCTGAAGCAAAATATGATAAAGGACAAGTATCTTCCACTAGCGATTAGGCGATTTTTTTATTGTTATACCTCTTTAGAGCGTGGTTGATTTTGGCTTACAATTTATAACCTGTAAATTTTCTGACCGACGGTGAAAAGTGATTGGTATTGTTTCCCGTTGCCTTTAACCACGGCTTTCTTTCCTGAGTATTCATTATCTTGGGGTGGCTGCCATCCACGGCTACAGGGCCTACTTTAACCTACTATTTAATCCATAGCAATTTTAAGCCTTTGAGCGCTGCGTTCCTGAACAATTTTAAGCCTTCTACCTGAGAACCTGAGTCAAAATTCGCAAATAATTGGTAAGTAATGTTTTACGTTAGATATAAAAATAGTTACAAGTGTTTACCTATCGTTTAACCGGTGTCTGGGCATTATGACATTTTTCTCTACCACTGATAAAACGGTGGTCAGGGCTAAAAGTGTTAAGAAAAAAATGAGTAAAAGGAGTGAAAGAAGCGGGAAAAGAAATATCGTCTTTCTTTCTTGACTACGAAGGAGACAGAAATAAGGAAAGAGAAGTAAGAAATATAGATTAACCCTTTGAATCCTGCGCTACTGAACAATTCTAACCCTTCTGTCTGAGATCCTGAGTCAAAATTCGCAAATGATTGGTATGTTATGTTTTACGGTAGATATAAAAATAGTTACAATTGTTTACAGAGAGTTCAACCAGTGTCTGAGCATTACGTCATTTTTCTCTACCACCGGTAAAGCGATGGTCAGGCCACAAAGTGTTAAGGAATGGAAGTAAACGCAAGAGATTACGTAGAAATTTCAGTGTTGTCTTTCTGCTAGGTTTCAAGCCTAAAGATCTCAGCCTCTCCTGAATCTTAACACGTAGCCTGTGTTAGAAATGATTGATGCCACTCACAAGGGTACAACTGCGTAACTGAACGCAACAGGCTGAGACAAGAATGTGAACTCAGTTCCCCAATTACACTTTGCTCGCCAGAATTAATTATAACTTAAACACATCACGGTCCCAAACGTATTCATTAGCCGTAACCATCAACGGCTATTTTCTCTTATATTAAAGAGATGTTAACTCAAGGGAAACAACTCCTGCTTAGTTGCCACATTTATTTTCTATAGCCGTTATTCATTTTCATTATAGGAAGAGCGAATTCAGCTTTTGGCCCCGATCTACATATTTTTTTTTATCATTGTTACAAAATATTCCATTAATATCATTTTATTTTAAAGTTTAGTTAAGAAATTTTTGTGGTAGGATCCACCTAATTTGCATAGTGGAGTATCGACCATATAAATATGGTTGGTACCGGGAAGAGAGAGGAGGAATCAAGAGATTCAACCAGAGACTCTGCCCGACTGCGACTCAGTCAACACATTCTACAGGAACGGGTTACCAGGAATATACAAAAGACTATATGGAAATATCGTGTACACTTTCTTGTTTCAATACATTTTGTTCTAAGTACGTTTTGTGTTGCATTATTATTCCATGCATTACTCAAGTTTCAACAGAAATTTCTCTTTTTGACGTTCTAGAAACTTTATTTTATTCCATTGACTATCATGAGTTTGTAAAAAACGATGAACTGAAAGAGTTTCAATAACATTCACAGGAAAAGTATGTGGCTGTAATACCCAATTTCAGTCATGACCGAAAAAATGTAATAGTACAAGTTTTATCTTTTATATGAATTTCATTTATGACTAATAATGTGACCAAACGATCGAAAGAAAGAACGAAATAAATAAATAAATAAAGAAAGATAGGAAGAAACGAAAAATAAAAGAAGGAAATAAATTAATATCAAAGTAACAAACAAAGGAACAAGGAAAAGAATGAACGAATGAATAAACGAAGAAAAGATGGAATGAATGAAAAAAAGAATGAAAGTAGGAACGAAAGAATGAAAGAACGAAAATAATTAAGAAAGAACAAACGAAAGAAAGAAAAAGAAAAAAGAGTGAACGAATGAAAAATCGAGAGAAAAAATAGCGAACCAACCAGCGAAAAAAAAAGACCAAACGTAGGAAGGAAAGAAAGAAAGAAAGAAAGATAGGAAGGAACGAAAAATAAAGGAAGGAAATATATTAATATCAAAGGAATAAACAAAAGAACAAGGAAAAGAATGAACGAATGAATAAACGAAGAAAAATAGAATGAATGAAAAGAATGAAAGAAAGAAAAAAATTAAGACCGAATAAACGAAAGGAAGAAGAAATAAAAGAAGGAATGAATGAAAGAGCGAAGCAAACAACAACAACAAAAAAGACGAAACGTAGGAATGAATGAAAAAGAGAAAATAGACAGGAACCAAAATACAAAAGAAGGAAATGACGTAATATGAAAGAAACAAACTTTATTTTATTCCATTGACAATCATGAGTTTGTAAAAATCGATGAACTGAAAGAGTTTCAATAACATTCACAGGAAAAAGTATGTGGCTGTAATACCCAATTTCAGTCATGACAGAAAAAATGTAATAGTACAAGTTTTATCTTTTATATGAATTTCATTTATGACTAATAATGTGACCAAAGAAACGAAATAAATAAAGAAAGAAAGAAAGAAAGATAGGAAGGAACGAAAAATAAAAGAAGGAAATAAAGTAATATCAAAGTAACAAATAAAAGAAAGAACAAGGAAAAGAACGAACGAATGACCGAACGGACAAAAGATAGAATGAATGAAAAAAAGAATGAAAGTAGGAACGAAAGAATGAAAGAACTAAAATAATTAAGAAAGAACAAACGAAAGGAAGAAAAAGAAAAAGAGCGAACGAATGAAAAATCGATAGAAAAAATAGCGAGCTTATGAAAAATCGAGAGAAAAAATAGCGAGCTTATTATAACGTAAAACAAAAAGAAGAAGGAAAATCACGAACGACTGAATAAACGGACAAAAGTTATAACGTATAAAGAAGAAAGTCGGGATGAACGAAAGAAAGAGTGAAAGTAATTAAGAACGAAATCACAAACGAAAAAAAAAAGAAAAACTTAAAGAACGAACGAAAGAAAACAAAAAAGAAAAAGAAACTTTGTTTTGGATTCAAGTCTGCGCACGTCTCCATTTTTTATATAAAAGAACAAACATGGGACCATCCATTATTTTGCAGCTGCAATGCATTGACCAAACGTGCAGACATCGATGTAGTTTTGCACATATGTTGCAGATGTTGATAGCAATCAGTAAAAAAATGCTGTTTTGCCGTTTGCCACCTTCGTACGCGACATTGGTCTGTGTCATCAAAGAAACGAGAGACATTTCCGATGTAACGACAAACATAAAGTTCATATAGGAGCAACATAAACTTTTTACATTTTCAGAGAGAAAAACAGAAAATAACGGAACATGATCGATACAATAAAAGGTACAAACCGAAGGATAAAAAAACATTAAAAACAAAAAGCAAACATAAAACAATCGATCGGGGCAGCTGTTCAATGTTTACGCTGTTAATTATTGAAATGCTAAGGGAATTACATGGTGGGTTTTGCAGAAACGTTAGTTGTTTAACTTGTGGATTTACTTCAATTACCTTCCTAAAAAAAACGCCACTAAGGGACGCTTTTAAAGCAGCCAGGTCTAGTGTTTCACGGTGAACACTAAACCTGGCTTCTTTAATATTTCCCCCTTTTCTAGCAAGATTAATACTCGACAAACGTACATATAAGTTTTAGATCAAAATAAAATTCTTTTCGTTTTTCATTCAAAATACTCAAATTTTAGGAATACGTTTTCACAACATCGCCCACATGACGACGACGTGATCATATTTAAACGGAACGCTGATATTATAAAAGATTTCAGTTATCTGGTTGGATTGGTATTGCTTTTATGTCCATCGTCTTTTTCATGTTGAATTGTATATGGTCTATGTTAATTATGTTTTATGAATATGTCCTGAAGATGGTCTATTAGACCGAAACATCCGACGTTGATATTAAACATTAAAACAGCATAATAGCATATTAGGATTTTTGTTTGTTTTTTCAGTATATTTTTCTTCATATATATATATATATATATATATATATATATATATATTTATGTCAACAGTATTACTCGGTTGAAAAACCTCGGATGACTTAACTTCTACACACCTGAGGGCAAATTGGTACCCGAGGAAAAAGTTGGAAATAAAAAAGAAAGAACTAAAAACATCAGAACAAGGCGAAAGAATTGTCAAGTGTCTTAAGTCTTTTGTCCAAAGGAAAAAAAAACAAGCTAGTATAAAGAAAACTAACATGTAGAGGACTCAATATGCTACTGTTGAGCCGTAAGTTAGAAAAAATCCTAACGAGCCACGCAAACCTACCTAGGTTTCACCTAAACGGAACTTCAGGGTAAACTGTTTAAAAAAGTTCGGCCAAATGCCCGTCGGCCAAATGTTATATATATATATCTAATTATTTATTTAAAAATATGATTCCAATTCGTGACATAAGAGGTCTCATGTTTCAAACAAGAGCCGAATACTTCAATATAATTCGAATTAAATTGAGTTAAAGTAGGTAACTCCATTGGATCGCTAAAAAAAGAGCATAGCATGATTAAAAAGACGCCAAACTTGATGAAAATAAAATTTTCGCGTCTAAATGCTTATGTTACTTTTTAGAGGAAAGATCAAAGTATTTTTTACTTATTTTTTGAAATTTTTCCTCCTTTTTTAGAACATTGTAAATTTTGATTAAAAGACCTTGTTTCTCTTTTTATCAGCTTGGCTGATAAATTAACGTATAAACATTTTGGCGCGTTTTTTTTCCGTTTGACACATTAATTTGGAAAATCTTGTAAAAATGAAAATAATTGTCGGATTTTAATGAAATTTTCAGAAACTATTTAAAAATGATGGAACTTATTATAAATACATTTTTTTAGTAAAGTCATCGCAGAAATTTTTTTTTTTCATATGTATTTACCCACTCTAACTAATTGTACGAAAACTCTATAATTTCAATTCTTAGGAGTTTAGTGATTATATCAGTTAAAAAGCACAATGCTTTGAGGAAACAAAATCATGTTTTTTTTTTTTTAGTTGGAGCCCTTCTACCTGAAAATCGTCTCTGAAGTGTAACATACAAAAACTCAATAAAACAAAAATATTATTTAATTTCAAAAGCTTTTAATTGCTTTTATTTATTCAATAAACATGGACAATATTGTCTGAAAGCAAAAAGATATTTCGATGAAAAATGAATTTTTAAAACAATTACCTACAATTATTTTTTATTTCTGCAACCATTGTTTTATTTTTACATTATGTTGTTAATTCTTCTAAAATTATGGAAAAGCGTGTACAACTTAACGGATGTTGTTTTAAGTAGATATATATTTACAGATTATAATTTCCAAAGCTTATTACAAACTAATGAGTCTTCGTATATTAAAAAATTAATTTGTCAATAATGTGTTTTTTACCAATGAAATCTACGGAAGACCGGAAGTTTGGTGCGTGCAATAAAAATAACGTCACGTGGATTGAGTTTCTGTCTAGTAAGGGTTGTTCTTCGCTGTATACGGACCCTTAATTTAGCAAACTGTTCCTGCTGAAACACGTGTGCATCATTTTCATTAAGTTAAAATAGGTACTTTCATCTAGTTTTCATCGTAGTCCTGTAATGTTTGGTTGAAATTGGTTGAAAAATGTAGGAAATTCGATCCAATAAACGTAACACACACAACCTGGGTTTTATAATAAGTAAGATTCACATTTTGCCTCTAGAAAACTAAAAACTTTTCAGTCATTTACACTGGCCAATTTTACTTTTAAATGAAACATAATGTTTGCTTTCAGAAAATACCTAGTTTCACGGGATTCAGATAAACTTTCCCTGGTATTTTTCCAGATAAGTAATTTTTTATTACGTAAAAATATAAAAATCCATTTATTTATTTTTTCCGAGAATATAGGCTGTGACAAAATGACTTTTACTATGTTTGATTATTTTTACTGGGGATAGAATTTTTTTATAATAGCAAATCTGAATTGACTTTAGAGGGGTCTATATGGGCCCTCAAACAGCAGTGCAACACTTATTTTTTATTTTTTTAATAGTATTTATAATTTCTCCAGATAATATCAACAAACTTATGGTACATAGTAGTTAACAAAAAAAATTGTAATGGCGAAAGTTTTTTTACTTTAAATATTACAAGTTACTACTTAAGTAGGTCCGCTTAAAAAAATAATATGTCCATTCTGTGCTTCCGTATGGGAACTCGAATCTCACGTCAGCTGTCAATAATTTATAGATGTCATCACTCGGCACTCTGTCAATCAACGGCAACGTGAAGATCGGCTGTTTATCTTTAAAACATTTTTCTACGAAGAAAGTAAGTAAAAAGTTTCTTTCAAAATATTTTAAATAAACTTCAAATTTTCTAAATTTCTTCGAATAAATATTGAAATACATATAATTAATTTTTAAACGAATTTTAAACGAAGAATTTAACTTATTTTTAAAATTAAAAAAAATATGGCTGATATAGAGCTTTTTTCGTTTTTTCTGTAAACAAGTTTTTTTAACTAAAATTTCGGACATGCTAAGAATGAGTAAAAAATTTCAAAAATTACTCAAAAAATACTTTAGTGTTTCTTCTCAATAATGAAATATACTTTTATCATGAAAAAGAATTTTTTCGTTAATTTTCAGACCGTTCTTGTCATGCTATATTAGATTTTCGCGAAATAAACGGAGGTACCTAAGTTAAAGTGAGCTCTGTTCCATCTTTAAGCGAAATTTTTTGGGGAATAACGTATTTCTGAAATTTACGTGTTTTAATAATTGAAATCAAAATTTCCATGGTAACAGCTAGGGCGAATTGTTTAAATTGGGTAGGCGTGTGTTGGGTGTTAATAATAAGTATCAGTATAGAGTTACTTTCGTAGAAGTCAAGTCAGTGAAAGGTGGGGGTGTCTAAATTTGAAACGGAAGATGTATTAACCCTAGTCTGGTATGTGTGTCTATGAAGATTTATTTATTTTTTTATTTTATTTTTTTATGAAAGGGATTTGTGCATATAAAAAAAAACTGCCGTAACGTTTGTTTTTTGACGACTTCATAAAGGGTTATCTTTTTTGTAGGGTATTTAAACTATTTATTTGGGCTATGGATTATGAAAGTTATTATATTGTATGCTTGTTTTTAGCTAACTATTCAAACACACGCCTACCCAATTTAAACAATACGTTATTCCAAAAAAAATTTCGCTTGAAGATGGAATCATATTTTTAAAATAATTAATTATATTTATGCTCTACTTTTGTATCGAGCACTATTTCTAAAAAATAATAACTAAAATACTAAGGGACTTTGGATTATTTACCTAACCAGTTCCTTCCTATTTTCTATATATTTTCACACACACACACACACACACACACACACACACACACACACACACACACACACACATATATATATATATATATATATATATATAATATATATTTCAGTGTATACGGAATAAATTCCAATAACCAGCAATTACTATTCTTAAAAGAGTGCTCAATACAGAGTAGAGCAGATATAATTATCTATTTAAAAATTATAACATAAATATGTTATAAAATCATTACAGAAATAGCCATTTGGTTTCAAAATCTCCGATGACTTATCAAGTGATGATGTTGACAAGACACCGGATGTTTTGAAATAAAATGCCTATTTTCGTAGTGATTTTATAACATATTTATGTTATAATTTTTAAATAAATAATTATATATATATATATATAAAGTTGTTTCTTTAATTTTATCATCCGAACTTACATACCGATTCCGCCATTTTTGTTGTGGACGAACGAGAAATCAGAAGAGGAATGCAGAATATGGACTAAACAGAAGAAATTTGAGACTTTCAAAACCAGTTTCATTGAAAAGTTTGTTCTGGCTAACGTATTAGAGGAACATGGCAGACGAAAAAATGAAAACAACAATGTACCAATCGAATGGTTCTATTTTGTTGCTGAAAAGTGCACAGCCCTGGGCCC